CAGAGCCTAGACTAGACCAGGCACTTAGCAGGTGCTCGATACATACAGATCAGCTGAATCTGGACAAAGAGGTGCAGATTACAGACAGGGATGGGAAGGGATGTGAGGACACGGGACAAGGGACATGAGGACTGGGCAGGATCAGGAAAGGGTCAGGTGTCAGACAGGTGGGGCACTTACCCAGCAGTCACTCCGGGGCAACACAGCAGCACAGACTTGCCAGGCTGCCCATACTGGACCCCTGTGGAGGGCACTTCTGAGGTGAGGCTCTTCCTTTACAAGCCCCCACTCCCCCTCCACACACCCACACCCACACTCTGTAAGAATGACAGGGTAAGGACCCGAGTGGGTCATGTGACAATCTGAGACAGAGATCAGAGGACAGGATACAGGGGGGACCCAGCTTGGTGGTCAGAGTTGGGAGACACAGTTAGGCATGGGAAGGGGCCACAGCAAGGGCAGCAAGTCACAAGTCACAGCCCAGGGTTCTCACCTTGGGGGCCCCAGGCCTGGGGGCAGGGGGAAGAGGCAGACACCAGGGCTGTAGCCACAGCCACCAGGACCCTGCTCAGCCCTGAGCAGCTGCTGCTCATCTGTGGAGGGGAGAGGCAGCGTCAGGGATCCCCCACCCCACAGTGGGAAGCAAAACCCTGGCTCCTCCTGCCGGAAACTGAGACTTCCTAGGAGGAAAACTGAGGCACCAAGTGGAGTCAGGGCGCCAGAAATCATCGGGGGATCTGACTTGAGGTCCCCTTTCTCACCATACACCCATTGCCATGCATGTGCCTGTACACACGAACACAAACACACATACACACACACCCTCACCCCCTCCATCTCAGTCCTGGGCTTAGGGCCCAGAACAAAAGCCGGAGGCGACAGACTGCGCCAGCAACCACCCCCCACACCGCCCTTGGCGCCCACCCCTGGCACCAAGTACTGGCAGGGGCTCAGCCACTCCCATTAACCCCTCCAATGTAGCTGCTGGGATTTCAGCATTCTTCCTCACCTGCTCCAGGGCTAATCACCACCTCGGTCTAATCTGGGTCAGGCTTTATCAGCTGGGATGGGGGGGGCTGTCATGCTGGGCCTGAACCCACCCTGTACGCCCACCATGAGGCTTAGCCCTGCTCTGGCTGCCAAGCCTCCGGCCTGGGCCTGTCTCCTTGCTTTGACTACTTGGGCCACTTGAATGGGCCTGGCTTGAAATCTGGTCTCAAGCCTGCGAGGCTGGATGGGGCTAGGGTGCGGGCTGGGACTGCAGCACTAAGCGGATCCAGATGCCCTGGCTGCTGCCAGAGGCTGGGAGCGGGCAAGGCGCCAGCAGATGGAGATGGAGACAGGGTGGCGGGAAGGGGAGAGGAGAGGAGGCTGAGAGGAGCTGGAGCCTGCAGGGACAGGGGCCTGGCCTGGGGGCCACAGCACCAAGAGATAAACACTCAGTTTCGGGACAGGGAGGCAATGAGAAGGAGCTCAACAAGGGGAGGACAAAAAGTCCCTAGCAAAGTGTGCATGTGGGAGGTGATGGTGGGGGCGCTAGGAGAGAGGAATCCTGGAGCTGGGGGTGGGCAGGAGCAGCGGGAGGAAGGCACTAGGGAAGCGGCCATAGGAAAGGAAGGGGCAGATGGGAGACGGCCCTGACCAAGAGCAAGCAGAGGAAGAGGAAGACCCCTCCAGAGCAGAACAGGGCAGGGGGGAGCCTCCACGTGTCTAGGTGGCCCACCCCTGGCCACCCCACCCCACCACTCCCCAGTCACATTGACCACGCTCAGCCCCGCCCTACCTCGCTGGTCCCAGTGGCTGAGTATTCATGGCCTCCAGGACTTCCTCCCACCAGCCACAGCACAGGGCTGCTGTTCCACTCTGTTCTGAGACCCCAGAACCATCCCCTCCTTCCCCCTCCACGCCCCGCCCCCTCTGGGTCCCACAGCTCAGCCGCCCCTAGCCAGGCCCCCCCTCCCCTTCCCCCCTCCTCCCTCCTCCACTCCTACCCAAGGCCCTGGGAAGGGAAGAGGCCTCCCCCTAGTCTGGAGAGGAAGCCACAGACGGAGCCCAGGCCAGCAAGAGGGAGAGGAAGGTTGCTTATGTCCCTGTCAGTGAGATTCCCTGTGTTTTCACTGAGCCCGGACTCATTAGGCACCATGAACAAAAAGATACTCCCCTGAACACACACGTGCATACAATTAAAAAAAAAAAAAAGAGCCAAACCGGGCTCCTTTCTTTAGGCCACAGCTGGCTGTGTTTTGAGGGGAAGGGAGGCCCAGGTTGGGGGTATAAGGAGAAGCCTACAAGGCCACTTCTCCCTCCCCTGGAAGTTCCAGCCATTTCTCCCCCTCTCCCTCCGCTCTTTGGGCCCCAGCACCAGGAAATGCCTTCGGTCCCTTGGTGCCAGATACACAAGACCCACACTTACTTACCCTCAGACTCTCAGATAGCCAGTCACACCAATACCCAGACACCCTCACTCCGACTCAGACACACACTTCCACACACTCACAACAGCCACACACGTGCTCCGTCCCCAGGACGGGCCCACAGCACCACCTGGAAGCAGCTCCTCATGGTGCAGCAATGGCAGATGGGCGTCTCATCACTGTTCCAAGCCCCTAGGTAGCCAAAGAGACCAGGGCAAACAGGCAAGTCAGGCAGAGACAGGGAGCAAGAGAGGCAAAGCTAGAAACAGGGACAGGGAGCCATCTGGGGAAACGAACCCGTGAGAGACACACAGAGATCTCTCACTGGGAGAGAAAAAGAAACAGAACCAACTGAGCCAGGTGGGGCCGGGGACCAGCCAGGAGGAATTTTGAGCAGAAGAGGGAGGGGCAGCAGAGTGTGGGGATGGGGCTGCCTAGGCTGGACCCGAAGCAGACAGGTCAGTCCCGTTAGGGTTCAAATGGGTCCCCAGGTGGGAGCGCTGCTCTATACACACTCACACACACACAACTCCACGTTAGGACACAGGACACACACATAGTCACAAGTTTCACTGTTGTTCTGCTACTGCTGAAGTCACGCCTTGGCACACACGGACCCAACCACCCACTCGCAGCTGGCACACGGTCTTAAACTCCACGGAGCCCTTCCCCAAACACATCCCCGCTGTGGGCTGCCCCCTCATACACAAACACACGGCCCAACCGCACCAAACACTGCCCACAGACACACCCGTAACCCCGCACTCCCGCGGCCACAAGCATGCACGCCGACACACGCAGTCACGTTAGCTGACAGCCTGTCCAGAGTCTCCCACGCTGACACCGTCACACGCGGACACACTGACAGGCCGTCGGTCACTCGCGAACCCTCAGATCCTACACCGCCCTGCCCCGCCCCCTCCTGGCCAGACTTCGCGGTCGGCACCGTCCCGCCCCACCAGGCCTCACCTTCCGCGGCCGCCGCCGCCAGCGCCCTCCGCCCTCGCCCTCGCCCTCGCCCTCGCCCTCTGCCCCGGCCTCGACTCCCTCCCGCCCTGGGCCCCCGCAGCGGGGGCGGCTCCGCCCAGGCGCCAATGGAAGGAGAGGGGTGAAATAGGGGGGCTCCCGGCCCATTGGAGCCGCCAACTGCCAATCACCTCCACCCCCACCTCTGCCGGACACTTCCTGTCCCGTCCCGGACCAACACGGCTGCAGAGGACTGAGTGTAGAGCTGGCTTTCTGGGTCCTGGCCTGAAAGCTTGTCCTCCCTGAGACAGCAGGACTGAAACAGTACCCTTCCTCTTCCTGCTGAGCACAAAGCCTCGAGTTAAGAAGCCCTAGGGCAGGTGACTGGAGGAGCCGAAGGTGCCCCAGACTGCGGATAAGATAAGGAAGGAGTACTGGTGTTGCAAGCAGCGCTTCTCAAACTTGCTGGATATTGTGCTTTCAAACTGAGCAAGCCCCACCCTTTACCAGTTAAATCGGAATCTCTGGAGGTTGGACCTAGGCACCAGTAGTGTGTAACACGCAAAGGCAGCCGAGCAGAGGTGGAAGGTTGGGGGTGTGTGTGTGTGTGTGTAGCCGTAAGGAGCCAGCACCCAGCTCAGGGAGATGTGGACTGCCTGCTTCCTCTCCTTCAGAGCAGGGCAGCACTCTCTGGTCTCAGGGAAGAAACACCCTGGACTGAAAGGCAGGCAGCCAAGGCCCTGCGCCAGGTCCACTGTCTAGGCTTAGTGCCATTTCCCCACCCAGTTCCCCCTGGGACAAGAGTAGAGACAAAGAGCCTTCCGGCCATCTCTGCATTACTCACAAGCCCGACCTGCACCTGAAAGTTTGGTAGACACCAGGTGGCATTCAGGTCCCCTTTGGCCACATGGCCTGTTGTCCCCCACACTGTTGCACAACCTTGCAGAGGGACAGGTCCAGGGGGGAGGGTGTCAACTCAGGGTCATTCGGTCATTCTGGGACCCATGCCCTCCTCCCAGATCCTGGGGCTCCTAACTCTGGAAGCTCTTCTGTCCTGTGCAATGACTGGGGCACAGGGGAGCACAGAGCCTGCACGTACTGAACATGGCAATCTGGAGAAGCCAAGGACACTGACACAAAGCCACGTACACGCTTCCTACTCACCCCTTTGGCCCCTGTGGGCTGGAGCACAGCCAAGCTGTAGCCACTCACAAAGCCAGGATTCTGGCCAGCAGCCAAGGGTCTGGCCACTGACCACTGGCAGCAGGATCCTGCTCACCCACTCTCCACCAAACCCTCAGGCCCCGGCTTGGTGAGCTGACACCCTAGGGGTGGTGGTGACGGTGCTCGGGCTTCCCCAGAGCCTCAACCACAGCTAAGAACACAAAATTTTTTTAAATGTACTAAACTGGAATGCCATTTATACCATAAGAAAGAGAACCTATAGGCCAGGTGTAATACTGAATATTAATTTTGTTCAGCGATTTGGGGTGGATTTTTTGCATCAAGTTTTTGCAAATCTGTAGGCAAAGAAATTGTGGCCAGAGCGGTGCCTTTCATCCGTAACCCCAGGTCCCTGAAGATTCGGTTTCATACCCCTCTGGTGTCAACAGTATGTGATTAAAGTTGGAGAGGCACAATTTTATTGATGTTTCATCCACACAAACTCTAGGCTCCAGGTCCCTCAGGCAGAAGGACTCAAGGCCCTGTGGTCAGTGTGGTCGGGTGACGGCCGCAGTCTCCTTGTCCTTCTGCCTCAGGCGGTAATGAACCTCAGGAAGTGCCCTTAGTCTCTCTGCAGCCTGGAAGGGGGACAAAAGGCAATCAGGGAGGGGTAAGGGCTGCACCCACAGTGTGGGAGGGAGTTCTGAAGGAGGGCCTGTGGGGCTGGGGAGACGAGGGAGGGGGTAAGGACTGCCCAAGTCCCTGGAACGAGCAGGAGCTGTGTAGCTCCTGAGTCCCGAGGAAGGCCTCCTTGAGGAAGTGGGAAACAAAAAAAAGAGGGAGGGTGGAGACCCAGGGTGCTGCAGGTCCTGACCTGCTCAGGAGTGAGGTCCCTCTGAGCCTGAGCAAGCATTTCGTAGCCAACCATGAATTTGCGGACAGTGGCAGAGCGGAGCAGCGGAGGGTAGTAGTGAGCGTGCAGCTGCCAGTGGTCCCAGGCGGCCCCAGCCTCTGACCCTGTGGGAGCTCCTGACAGGAAGAAAAAAAGGCAGAGATGATACAGAGGGCTCTTTCTCAGTTCTTCAGCCTAGTCCCTACCCCCAAGCCAACCAGGCCAAGCAGCCGAAACTACATCTCCCAGCATCCCCTGCCAGCCATTAGAAAGCACATCACTGCCCAGAGCAGGGACGCTGGGAGTGTGGGTGGTGCTGCTCACTCTCACTCCCAGCATCCACCTCACTCCCAGCATCCCCGCTCCGGACACTTCCCCCAGCAGGTGTCTCAAGACCCGCCAGGGGTTGTAGTCCACTGGGCTGGGCCCCAGGAGCCCAGAAATAGAGTTTTAGCATTATACATAGGTTCTCAAAAAGCCTCACCATGCCAGCCCATGGAGTAGGGAAAGGAAGTCTCAAACAGGTTGTCGTACTTGGTCAAGAGCTTCTTCATGATGGAGGCCAGATCTGGAATCAGAGCCTGACACTCAGCCCGAAACCCAGATCCTGGCCCTACCAGAGCGCCCCGGGTCCAGCGCCTAGCCCCAGGGTCCTAGTTGGGAGACTCACCATCGCGCTCAGTGGGTGTCAGCTCAGGCAGCCGCCGCACATGGCGACGGGGCAGCAGCAGTGTCTGGAAGGGCCACACTGCCCAGAAGGGGACCAGCACCAACCAGTGCTCGCTGGTTAGGACCAGACGGTCCTGGGCAGACAAAACAGTTATTAAGGTGTGTGTGTGTGTGTGTGTGTGTGTGTGTGTTTGTGTGTGTGTTTTGGGAGTAGAAAGGGATCAGCAAATAGGCAGAAGAAAAGAATGTACGACGCATGTGATAGGTTCTCACCACCTCTGCCACTACCGCTCATCTAAACCATCATCAATTTCCCTTTAGATAATGGCTGGGGCCTCCTAAGCAAGTCTCCCTCACACACCTCTCTCTTTCGGGGGTAAGGCCAGGGATTCCTTGGGGAAGAGGGACGGGCTCTCCCCCACCTTCCGGAGCAGCTCCTGGCGGCCATACTCCATCAGCAGAGGCTCTCCGTGTTGACTGTGATAGGCCCGCTGAGATCTCTCCTCGCGCTGGGCAATATCTGGCAGGAAGCTGCTGGCCCACACCTGTCCAAGGGCAGGAGCAGAGAAGAGTGGACAGTTCCTTCACCTCCAAGTCTGCATATTTTCTTTGTACCATCCCTTAATCTAGTTCTCCTGCCCACAATGCTGGCTTGAACCCAGCCAAAAAAAACTCACTGAGACACTCACCTGGCAGTGAGGGTGGGGATTGGAACAGCCCATCATGGCTCCTTTGTTTTCAAAGATCTGTCAGGTGGGGGTAGGGGGCTTTAATAGCCAAAAAGACATCAAGTGAACCCCCTCCTGACCACACCCTGTGGAAACAGGAATGCTACTTCCCAGAACCAAAGCTGCACCACCCCCTCCTCGGCCCATCCAGGGGAGGGGGCGCCCTTACAGACCTGCACCCAAGGGTACTGAGTACCCAGATCCTCTGTGACTGAGGCCCATGCATCGACGACAGCCCGGATCTCAGGGACTGACATGAGTGGCAGCGTCACATCCGACCAGGGGTGGAAGCACATGACCTTACTAGGTGGTGAGGGGAAGGGGTGACAGAGGGACAGGGCTTGTCTGCGCTGGGACCAACCCCAGTGCTCAACCTCAGGCTGAAGGTTTTCAGAGAGGAAATCCATAGTTACCAAACTCCTCGGGCAGCCTGTGCTTGGAAAAGCGGGTGATCGCTGGGTCCTGAAATAAAGAGGGCAGCACTCTCTACGGCAGAAGTCCCCCCCAGGGGCCTAGCCCCCACTCCCCAACAGTGCCTCGAGCCAGGTTACCTGGATTAGGGGCATCAGGCTGCAGAGCTGGGAAGTCGTTGTCAAACAGGAAGGTGCCATCATAGTTAGGATTCACCTACTGACAAGGATGGGCTACAGGCATTCCACTGCCCCACGCCACAAACCATGTGGTGGAGCTGGAGGGCTGACCAGACTCCAGGGGGTGGGAAAGGCCCACGGCGCCTGTGGGTGAAGGGCAGCTCTAAGGGGAACCCCTGTCCCCGGCCCAGCCAGGCGCAGCCTCCACAGGCTTACCTCTCCATTGGCCCGGGTGGCCCCGGGACACAGAGGGTTGAGGGGGTCGTGGCGGGGCACTGTCTTCAGAGGCTCAGGCTCCACTTGCCCCTGCCAGGGCCGCTTCATGCGGTGAGCTGACACCAGCACCCACTCATCCTGCAGCGGGTTGTAGCGGATATGCTGATGCTCTGAGGACAGAAGGGTCAGGATCAGTCAGCAAAGCTGTCACGCTTCTCCCAGCAGCACGAGCTGGGGGGGGGGGGGGGGTGCTCTCAACCCCGACCCGCTCAGGAGCCACAGGCCCGGAATTAGACCTTGGCAGTGTCGGCCTGCAGCGCCTGCAGGGGCGTGTCTCTTTGCCCCGCCGGCCTTGCTTGGGGTGGGCGCGAGGACTTTTTAAGGAAGCGAAGGGACAGCCTGCGTCCCAGCGAGTCCCGGCCGCCCTGCAATTACCGCTTGCCCGGAAGGCTGTTTTCGTGGCGTCTGCCTCTGACGCCTGCTGGCGCTGCTCGGAGTCAGTTCCGCCGCGCGACATGAGTCTACCTCGGGGATCTTCTGGAACGCGAGCAAGGCTGCGCCTCGCCCTTCCATTTCTTGGTCTGCCCCGCCCCGACACGCCTCGCCCCCGGTGATTGGCCAGGCGCCAGCACGTGACTGCCTGAGGGTGCCGCCCGGCCACCTAGGGGCGGGGCTCAGGGTAGCTGAGGTCTTTGATGATCCCCCCTGCCCTAGGCTGGAGCCATGACCCTGTGAATGCCGCTTATTGCAGAGTCTTCTACTCTAGGACACTTACAGACTTCTTTTCTGCATTCAGTCATCCGTTTGGTCATTCATTCAGCAAATATTTACCGAGCATCTACCGTGTGCCAAGCAGCTTGGCTCTACGTGTGACAGCCCTGGGTGCACAAATCAGGCATGACCTCTGCCCTCTCAAAGCTTACAGTCCAAGCCCAGCGAAGGTCTCACTTTGGAGCCACAATCACCCTGATGCCTGCTGGGAGAGGGAACTTTGAGGTTGCAGAAGGACTTGGATCTGCTGTTACCGAATTCTAGCCCTTTAGATGGTACCTCAAAGAGTGGGTACTCCACCGTAGTCACGCCTCAGCCACCAGCACAGAGACTTGGGGGGAAAGGCTAAGTAACCACATCCCCCCAACCCTGCCATGGGTGTGCCTGTGTATGCGTCCTCCGCCCCCAACACACACATACACACAAAGTGCGAGGAGAAAAAGGACTATACAATATCTAAAAATATGGGGAGGACAGGGCTGTCAGTAGCTTCCAACCATCTTGTGGGTGAGATCAGGAGTGGTGTTGTTTGAGATTTTATTTCTTTGAAAGGCAGAGCAACCAAAGGAGAAAGGGATAGACTGAGAGGGATATTCCATTCACTGGTTTGCTCCCCAAATGCCCCAAACAGCAGGGCCTGGGTCAGGCTGAAGCCAGGAGCCCAGAACTCCATCTGTGTCTCCCTTGTGGCTGACAGGGATCTAACTGCTTTGAAGGGTGTGCATTGACAGGAAGCTGGATCAAAAGTAGAACAGAGACTAAGCCCAGGCATTTGGATAATTGATGTGGGCATCTTAAAGTCTGAACCAAACACTCATCCCAGTGATGTTCTTTCTGCATCTCTTTCCCCTCTCCAAATTTGCCTGCGATCAGATCAATAACAATAGAAAAAAATTCAATTAATTCTCCCTTGCACTTCTTTAAAATTTTTTTTTAAAATTATTGATTTATTTTGAGAGAGAGAGAGAATCTTCCATCTACTGGTTCACTCCCCAGGTAGCCACAAGGGCCAGCGCTGGGTCAGGACAAAGCCAGGAGCCAGGAGCTTCTTCCAGGTCTCCTAGGTGGGTGGCAGAGGCCCAAAAATGTTTGGGCCATCTTCCACTGCTTTTCCCAGGCCATTAGCATGGAGCTGGATCACAAGTGGAGCAGCCAGGACACAAACTGGCACCCATACAGGATGCCAGAAGCCTTACCTGTTACACCTTGATGCCAACCCCTCTTCTAGCACTTTTAAAGAGTCACGTAAATACGCGCCTAAACATTTTCCCCATCTCATCGTGGGGACAAAGATATCAACATCACCCAGAGAATGAATAGCTGAGATTTGAATGCAAGTTTTCCTGGCTCTTGTCCATGCTGTGCATCATTGGGATTCAGGACAGAACCCTTGTGAGCTAGGAGCTGGGCCTAGAAGGAAGGCCCCTTCCCACAAGCCAGGCCAAACCTGGCATTTGGAGAAAACACACACACACACACACACACACACACACAAAACTGGGTCATTGGTCATTTACCTGATCTCTGCCCTATGGTCGTCAAGCTGGAATCTAAAGAGGCCACTAGATAGGGGGCAAAGAGCAGGGGACTGGGGTTTTATCTGTGCCCCTGGCTGCTCGCAGTTCAGGAGGGGTGAGGGCAGGAATGGGAGACACGCTTTTGTGCTCTCTCAGCTCTTTGTTTGGGTAACTGGATTTTGGAGGCTTCTTTCTTCCATTTTCCTGGTAACACCAATGCTTGGGAAGCCACTGCATGGCTCAGGCCAACCGACTCAGACCCTCTTCCAGAACGTCTCCAAACCTCTCCTCTCCCCATGGTCACTTTTTGTGGGAAGAGGAGAATGGCTGGGATGGGACCGACTCAGCCCTCTTCCTCCCAGATGCTGGAAGTGTGATCTCTCCTATGACATCTGAGCCAGCAGGCTGTGGCCCTCAACCCCTTTGTCTCCACCCAGGATCACTCAAGGCCCTAGGACACTCCTTTGTTGTTCTTGCTTTTCAGGGTTTGCTGGGGAGGCTTTCTGAAAGACCAGACGGGGGAGCTGCGGGCCCAGATCTTCTCAGGAGGCTGTGCTTGGGGTGTGGGGCAGAGACCAGATATGGGGGTTGATCCCTGCTGCCCACAGTTCTAAGAGGATGCTGTGGCTGAAGTGCCACAGAAGCCCAAGCCAATACAAAACGTGTTTCCTCAATCCCACATTCTTTTTTTTTTTTTTTTTAGAACACTTGCTCCCTTAAAAAATAAGAGTTATTTATTTACCTGAAAGGCAGAGTTACAGAAAGAGGGAGAAACAGAGATGATCTTCCATCTGCTAGTTCACTCCCCAAATGACCACAACAGCCAGGGCTGTGCCAGGCTGAAGTCAGGACCCTGGAACTCCATCTGAGTCTCCCACATGGGTTGCAGGGGCCCAGGTAATTGGGCCATTTTCCACTGCTTTCCCCTGGGAGCTGGATTAGAAGCAGAGCAGCTGGGATTCAAACAAGTGCTCATATGGGATGCTGGCATCACAGGCAACAGCTTAACCAGCTGTGCCACAACCTAGGCCTCATCCCTTTTTGCTTTTTTTAAATTCTTATTTATTTATTTAAATAAAAAAATTTTTTTGGACAGGCAGAGTGGATAGTGAGAGAGAGAGAGACAGAGAGAAAGGTCTTCCTTTTGCCGTTGGTTCACCCTCCAATGGCCACCACGGCTGGCACACTGCGGCCGGCGCACCGCGCTGATCCGAAGGCAGGAGCCAGGTGCTTCTCCTGGTCTCCCATGGGGTGCAGGGCCCAAGCACTTGGGCCATCCTCCACTGCTCTCCCGGGCCACAGCAGAGAGCTGGCCTGGAAGAGGGGCAACCGGGACAGAATCTGGCACCCCGACCAGGACTAGAACCCGGTGTGCAGGTGCCACAAGGCGAAGGATTAGCCTATTGAGCCACGGTGCCAGCCTTATTTATTTATTTTTATGTGAAAATACTCAGTGAATATTATTTATTTTCATCCACTTGAAAGGCAGAACAATAGAGAGAGAAGGAGGGAGTCATTCTCTACGGCTTCGGAATTTCCCATTAGACCCTCTGCAATGGTGGTAAGAGATGAAGGAGAATGTAAAGAATTTCACAGGAGATTTTAGCAGTCAAAGACCAGGAAGTGGCATCCATCATTTCTGCTTTCGTTTCATTGGCCAGAATGCAATCACATGGCCGCTTCTAACTACAGAGTAGATTGTGGAATGTAATCTGGCTGCCCAAGAGCAAAAGGAAACAGATTTATGAATGTGGCATTGTCTCTGTCACATGCCCCTAATGAGAACTCTGACCATTTCCCATCATCTTAGTGAACCTCTCAATTATATGTGATTGTGTGACCCTTCATTCCAAGATTCCTATGTGTGAGGCCACTCTCTGTTTTTATATTTTATTTATATAATAATACATATAATGTTCACTATGTACCAGGCACTAGTTGATTTATAAATATTAATATTTAAACTTCATTTCAATGAAAGTATTTACTAGGAGGTAGGTACTTTTATTTACTCCATTTTACAGATAAGAAAACTGAGTCAGCTTTTTTTTTTTTTTTTTTTTGACAGGCAGTCAGACAGAGAGAGAGAGACAGGTCTTCCTTCCATTGGTTCACTCCCCAAATGGCTGCTACAGCCGGCGCTGCGCTGAGCCGAAGCCAGGAGCTTCTTCCTGGTCTCCCATGCAGGTGCAGGGGCCCAAGCACCTGGGCCATCCTCCACTGCACTCCCGGGCCACAGCAGAGAGCTGGACTGGAAGAGGAGCAACCAGGACTAGAACCCAGCATCGATATGGTATGCCGGCACTGCTGGCAGAGGATTAACCAAGTGAGCCATGGCGCCGGCTCCTGAGTCAGCTTTTAAGTAACCTATCCAAGGTTACACAACTGGTGGGTGGCAGGAACCAGGCTTTGAACTCAAGTAATCTAGTTTCAGCGTTTATTCTTTTTTTTTTTTTATCTTAATTATGTATCTATTTAAAAGGCAGAGTTAGAAAGAACAGGCACAGAGAATTTCCATCTGCTGGTTTACTCCCCAAATAGCTGAAACAGCCAGGGCTGGGCAAGGCCGAAGCCAGGAGCCAGGAATTTCATCTGGGTCTCCCACAGGGGTACAGGGCCCAAGCATTTGGGCCATCTTCCGCTGCTTTCCAAGGCACATTAGCAGGGAGCTGGATTGGAAGTGGAGCAGCTAGGACTTGATCCAGTGCCCATATGGGGCCAGTATCATAGGCAGCAGCTTAACTGGCTGTGCCACAAAGCTGGACCCCCAGAGTTCATTTTTCTCTCTCTCTCTCTATTTTTTTTTTAATTTATTTATTTTACTTGAAAGTCAGTTACACAGAGAGAGGAGAGGCAGAATGGTGGTGGTGGGGGGTGTCTTCCATCCACTGGTTCACTCCCCAGTTGGCCCCAATGACCGGAACTGCGCAATCTGAAGCCAGGAGTCAGGAGTTTCCTCTGGGTCTCCCACTTGGGTGCAGGGGCCCAAGGACTAGGGCCATCTTCTACTGCTTTCCTAGGCCATAGCAGAGAGCAGGATCAGAAGTGGAGCAGCCAGGTCTCGAACCAGCGCCCACATGGGATGCTGGCACTGCAGGTGGCAGCTTTACCCACTACGCCACAGCACTGGTCCCTCTTTCTCTTTTTTAAAGACTTATTTATTTATTTGAAAGGCAAAACTACAGAAAGGCAGAAGCTGAGACAGGGACAGAGACAGATAGAGTCAGGTTTTCCATCCATTGGTTCACTCCCCAGATGGCTGCAATGGCTGGAGCTGAACTGAGCTGAGCTTAAGCCAGGAGCCAGGAGCTTCTTCCA